CCCCCCCCACTTCACCTTCGCCTCCCCCATCACCCCCCTCCCACATTTCAAGACGAGTCTAGATACGCCACTGGCTGTTCACCGTTTTGACCTGGGTGGGTTGCGAAATGGCCTGGTGAGGGGGTAGGGGAATAGTGCGAAATTGAGACTGCGGAACTAAATCCGTATTCTAATGAAAAACTTATTTAACCCGATTCAATGGAACCAATTTCCGCACCCTACAATTCCCCGGAACTTCCCCTCCCACCCTACCCAACCTACGCCTATGCGATTAGAACGACTGTATCTGAAAGACTATTATATGGTGTGAGTGGGCAGGTCTCCTCGTTGATGGCAAACTACGACGTGAAAAAGAATACGTTTCTGGATATTTTGCTAGGCCTAGGCTAGGCTAGTCGGAAGTTCTGGATGATGAAAACACATTTTTGATTAGTTTTGTTTGCATAGCTATTATTTCAGTATATATTCAAAATGGCCCAATGCGCACAGAGTGCGCGGGAGTTCATTCAGAATTCATTTGGGCCTATGGTGGCTGTATTATGTAGTCACGACGCAGAGGTCCTTGCACAGAAAAACAACTTAACGTTCGTGGAAATGGCACGGCCCTTCTGTAGGCTCACTACTGAAGGTAAGAACGCAGCTACCTAACACTTAGGGCCTAGCCAGGCAGGCCGTGATGTCAAGTACAATTTTATCTTGGATTATTAGGCTAGGCCCAAGACATTGATTTTGTATACAGTGCATTAAAATATAGTCCTATCCTAATAATATAGCACTTTTTAGTTTGAACTGCAATATGCCACTTGGAAATGTATTCTTTTCTAATACTTAGCCTATACTTTATAGTAATAAAAAAAAAGTAATTTATGATGATTATGAACATTTTATTAACATCCTAACATTACAACATTGTCACTTTGCACCAGCCAGGGCCTACACATATTCACTACCTACCTAATTTCAGATTACAATTTTTTAACCCCTGTCTCTTATACACATCTAGATGTGTATAAGAGACAGAGACTATACTGTCACTGGTTTCAAATCACTGTCAAGTAGTTAAAAATCACCTAAAAAGGGATCTAATTAGGTGAAGGTGCCAGGTCATTCAAAATAAAAACTGGATTTGTACAACATGACAGGTTGCATTTTTTTTATTAAGATTTATAATTTTTTCCATGTCACCCATAAATATTAAATACAGAATTTTAAAAAATAGTTTGCATTGCATTAAGTTGCAGGTACCACAAATCTGGCAAAGATTAATCTGTCAAAACAAAGACATGAAAAATTACTATAATTAAATAGAGGAAACAATAATTCAACTCAAAAAATAGATTTTTCTGCAAAAATTATTGCATTAGATTAAATAACATATAAAATTTCTATAACATTTTTGATGTTATACTATTACTAGCCCTAATTATTTTATTATAATTACTGTTTGATCATCATCATCATTAATATTATCATCATCATCATCACATAGCCACCACCTGTCTCGCATCGTCCGGGACGGTCCTGCATATCAAGTGATGCATTTTCCAGTCCTGCATTTTCAAATGAAGCACGCATTTTGTAGAAACACATGCATGATCGTAAATTTGTCACGCATTTAGCAGTGTCTATGCATGATAACAAATTTAAGGGAAAATGTATTTAAAATTAGAAGCAATTGGTCTTAATATTATAAAAAATATGAAAACGGTCAAGCAGTAACTTGAGTCATTAGACAGTGTTTTCACACATACTTAATTCTTCATTGACATGTCACTAGAAATTGATCAGTATGCCTATTAATTTTTTGTTTGTTTAAGTAATTAAATGTTTGTGTACATAGTTCGGGTGCTCAAATTAGACATAATATACATTGAAACTCAAATTGTACATAGCTTCTCTATAAATATTTTTGTTGTACCGTACCTGGTATTGTCAACACACATTCCCTAAAATTGTTTTAAAACATCTTAAAATTGCTGAGATCGTCAGAGCGCCAGGGGCCCTGGACCCCCACCGGGCTCCACCTCTCCCCACCCCCAGCCAACTGGTGTAGTCAAGCACTTCAAATCTCTCAAGTTGGTAACTATGTCATCATTTATATTCATTAATATAATCATTATAATCATAATTATCATAATTATTATTGTTATCGTCATCTATATCATCATTATTTTCATCATCGTCATCAACCCAACACTCTTGAATCGTTAAACGTACATGTAGATAATTTTGATTGTAAGGCAATTTACTTTAATACATTATGGTTATTTCAATGTGTTTGTGTCGGGAAAATATCGTAGGAGTTTTGCCCTACCTGACATGCTATCATTATACTGAATATTCATTGCATTTCCAAACATGTGGGGAAAAAATTGCAAGTGATTCGGGTGGGAATTGGACTCACAACTCTCAGATAACTAGCCTGGAGTATCATACCCACACTAGACCACTGAGCTTGTGCTTAGTGACTTGACTAGTGTTGAATCAGATCCCCAAGTAGCTAGCAGCTGGTAATGAAATTTTTTTTTACTGTATGTTTTAATTAGAAATTTAATTTCAATATGATTTCAATTCTTATTTCAGCTCATATCAGAGACCCACAAGGTCAGGTAAACTCGATCCGAAACCTGCGTATCATTCTGAACGATATGAATAGTCAACCGCCCTCATCAGCTATTGTGAGAAAAATGTTGAATGATGTCGTTGGAAGTTTACACCCTAACTCAGAAGCGTCAAAAAGTAACGTGGTGTCTGCTGGAAATTATGATTTACAACTTAGCGGTAAATCAAATTACAGGTCTTCCTCTAATTAAAGATCACCTGCAAATAAAGACCGCTTTTCTATGGTTGCCATGTTAACAAATGTCTATTATCTTTATTATTATAACTAGAGACCAAAGCTGCTAAAGACCTGGAAACCCTGGTCCCAATAGTGGTCTTTAATTGGAGGGAGACCTGTGCTTAGAATTGTTCTTAAAATGTGAAATATGATAGTAGGCCTAATTTGTTACATAAATTTCTATGACTCAATTTTTTATGTATAATTTTTTTACAATATTGTGTTCAGTTATATTATTCAGTCTGTTTTTTAGGATATATATATTTTTTTTATAGTTTTTGTTTTTAAAGTGTTTTTTTTTAGATAGGTGTTTAAATGATTGTTGTATTAATATATCGTGGTGGAAAAAAAATACATTTATAATGTAAGACCCCTGCTACGTATAGCCAATACTTATAGGCAGTGTTGATGCAGCAGCAGAAAATAACAATAAAAACAACATCCAAGACATTAAAAAAATATAAAACTGAAAATCTAGACTGTGTATTGATAATTATAATAATTAAAAAAATATTTTGATAACTTAATTTATGTGCTATGAAAATACACCAATCCATATTGAACCTTTTTATTAGGTACTCTCTAGATGCTTGATGAAATAAAAAAAAATATATATTAATGAAAGGAATTATGAGACATTGAAATATAAAACTGAAAAATAATAAGACTGCGTATTGATAATTATAATAATTAACAAATTATTTTGATAACTTAATTTATGTGCTATGAAAATACACCAATCCATATTGAACCCTTTTATTAGGTACTCTCTAGATGCTTGATGAAATAAAAAAAAATATATATTAATGAAAGGAATTATGAGACATTGAAATATAAAACTGAAAAATAATAAGACTGCGTATTGATAATTATAATAATTAACAAATTATTTTGATAACTTAATTTATGTGCTATGAAAATACACCAATCCATATTGAACCCTTTTATTAGGTACACTCTAGATGCTTGATGAGATAAAAAAAAAATATATTAATGAAAGGAATTATGAGAAATTGAAATCATTAAAATGTACATAACAAATTTACAATGTAATAGGTAGATTTGCGCACATTATCAACTTAGTATGCATTTTTCCTACACTTAAGATTCCCTATCACTATAAATTTAATCTGTTTTAATACATTATTCTACATTAATAAATCAATTTTGTAAGTAAGCATAATGTAAGTGTTTTTTAGATGGTTAATATTCACAATGTATTCTCCCGTGTAACAAGGCAGTAATAATAATATATAAATGTTTAAGCTATTACTTATACCTCCTATAGCTTTTAAAGATTGTAAATTCTGAAAAAGTTTAATAAGTATACAGTACTTAGTGAATCGAGGATGGGAGAATTTATGGTGGCTATGAAGTGTATGTGGGCTGTTTAGACAGGGATGGGGGAGGGGTCTGAGGGCTGACTCCCAGAAAATATTTGGTTCCTAGCGGCCCAGAAATGCACAAATTATATTATGTTATTAAATTTCTTCACGGCGTCGTTTCATGAGTGAGAGGACATGTCCGCTTTCCAAGCACTATTTGGTAAAATGTAAGCTATTATTATTAAGATGCTGTTAAGCTTGGTTTTCATACAATCGACACACACTATCGCCGAGAGCTTCTGGTGATGCTGATTGTTCGGTCGAATCAGGGGCCTTCCCGATTGCATCGGGAATTGCTACACAGTACTTAATTACACAATAATTGCATTGTAAACACTGTAACGATTTTAAGGGAACCAGGCTTTGCAACAAGATATCGATTCAGTTACGTTGTTTATGATTTTTGGTCAAAGGGCTCACTCTAGTCTAAACCTAGGGCTTTTTTGGAAAGGGTAGGGGTGGCTAGCCATCCTATTTACCAGCTCGTTCAGAGTCAGTCTGCTATGGAATTAATTAAACTTCTCATTTAATAGGGCTCAGATATGTTACCAACTCCCAGTGAGATTGGGACATAACTGAATGAAATAATTAAATTTATTATTGCTCATTAGGCTGTTTTACTACAAAAATCTTCAAATTGAATACCAGCAACACTAAAGCAGCACCATCAGGTCTTGTACAGCTTTTAATGTAATATGGGCCACTGTTAGTAATATAGGTTACTGCAGTAACCTCTGATGTTTGATCTGGCAAATAAATTATGTTCTAATTGATTTAACCTTCAGTTACATGTTCAATTTTGTTGATGTACAATTTGAACAACTAAAATCATTGTGATTTTTTTAATGAATGTGTAGAAAGATCATTCTGTAATATTTTAGTTCTTGTGGTTTTATTTAAAGATATACTGCCCTCCTATTAAAAAAAAACATCATTATTACAGTACATTTTGCCAGAGTGAAATAGTTCTGAACGATTTCGTTCTTGGCATATGCCTATCCATCTTGCACTAAAAAAAGTGTCACCTGCTTGGTCAACAAAACAGATGTTTTGATGTTGAACACATTGCATTGTTGTCAATAATTTTTTTGCATGATGGGATAAAAGTTTTAGAGGGAAATTTAAGATAATTTATTGGAGTAGTGAGAAAACACAGCCTTAGAACTTTTCATTTGAAAAGAACCGTAAGCTATCAACTTTTTTAATAATTCAGAGATCAAAAAATTGCTTCAATGATTTTATAGACTTTGCAAGTTATGAAAATCCTGAAATTTCCTGGCACATACTTAATGTTGTGTCGGGACTAGTTAATTCCTTTATTTGACCTAACTTACAATTGGATTGGGCATGTATTGATATGGTTTACTTCCATTGCAGGTTCAACGCCTTGGTTCGAAGCGTACAGAGAGCACTTCCTTCAAGTCACGTTGCCCTCAGAGCATGAGTTCATCCGCCATTTTATTGCCTGTATCCTTTCGTAATGAAGCAAGGGTTCAGTGAGTCTTGAATAATGAGACATGATAGCATGGTTTTTGAAAAGGAAGTGAAACTGCAGTATTCCACTTTTGTATTGTTTTTCCAGACAACATTCTTGTGTTTATCCTGTAACATATCAGTCATTCTCAGTGTGGTTTTCATTTTACTATGTTTTGGATTTGTATTGTCTTTCTAAAGTGAGTTTAACTCGACTAGAGCAGTCACTTTTTTTAGCCTCCTATGGCCAATCATCTGCTTTTATTTTTTGCAAGCTAAAATACACAGGATGCACTGGCCTTAAACCAGACATGCCTTGGGATATACTGTAAGAGTAAAGCCCCTGCACTTTCTATGCAGTGCCCTTCCCTAAGCCTTGTAGAGTAATTGTTTTTGACAATATTTATATGCAGTTATAATTTTTTTTTTTGTAAAAATGTATGGTCTCACCCATAATTTCTTGTTCCCCGTTTATGAAATTTTCCCTTTCCACTAAAAATACATGTTTACACCCTAGAAAGGTGATTAAGATTATTGTTTGTACATCCCCCCGCCTTTGTGCCTACAGTTAAAAAAATATTTTTGGAAAAATGGAAATAAGTATACTTAATTATGTATCAAGTTTCAAATCTGGTTCTCAGTTATTTAATTTAATGTATTAAAGTGTTTTATTTCATAATGAAATTGAAGATGGCAATAATGTACATTGTACTTGTCATGTCATTTATTTAAGAAAAATGGTGTGATCTATTTATGACCTTTGAACCCAAATATCTTAATATTAGGCGTATTCGACTGGTTCATTCCGTAGACTACGATTTTTCGTTAAGTATTACTTTCATTCGGCTGGTTCGTAAAAAAGGACTTCGCTGACAACGAAAATTAACGTAAACCAGAGTGCTTTAATCAGTGTTAAGTTATCCACGTGACCAAAATAAACATGGCCGATTAGTCAGTTTAGCAACAACATTTGCGTTAATATTATTTAGATTGAATTTCAGAAAGTAAAAATTATAATATTTACCCAACATGAAGTCAAAAAATAATTGTAGGCTAACAGAATTCAAAAACTGGATAGAAATATTTATTTTTTTACTAAAAACTCATACTGCCACAAGCTGAAGTAATCTTGACTACGCAGCGTGTATCGCGGTAACTATGCAGCCATCTTGTTTTGTCGAGTATTTACAAGTTTTCTATTTGACTGGTTGTCTTCGTTAAATAGGATTTTACCGCTGCGCTGGTGGGCATGGTTTAAGGAAGAACGACCAGTCGAATACGGCCATAGTATGCATATGTGCTATAGTATATCTCCTTACCTAAGTCTCAGGTATGCTTGTTGTGTCATCTAATCATGCAGACCCAATTGACCAGTTCTCCAAGTTGAATCAGCAGCAACATCAGTTGCAGCACAGTAGTAGCGCAAACAATCCTAAATGGCTCTGTCCAAATATCTTCAAATATTACATATTGCTTCATGACAACACAGAAGGGGAAGAGGAAAAGTAAGTATAATCCTTTGTTCAAAATATCGGTTTTCTCTAACAAGTATGTGCAATGATGAATATATGAATGTATAACACCCATATATGCATTAAATAATAGTCACTTTAAACTTATTAGCAACACTGGTTTTAATTACAATTAAAAAAAAAAATCATTTTTTCACAGAGCTGAAGCAGTTTACCAAAGTATGAAGTCAACGTATGGTTCTCACGCTTGCCACTTGTTACGGATCAATTCGCGTTCAATACAAGCTGCCGAGGTCGCTTCCATGGGGAACGAATATACTGCGAATATGCCTGATCCATGGAGCCAGTTTATGACCAATTCTGTCGAGGTAGGGGTAAGCTTTGAAACTAACACTTCCTTGGTGTATTCAGAATGTTAGAGAACTGTGACAACCTGATCTAGATACATAGTCTGTGTACATAATCTATTGGTAAATTAAAATAATAAGTGTCATGCATCAAGTCCAGACTGTAGACCTATTAAGCTGGTGGGCTGGTTGACCCCATGTATACATACATCAAAGGATCACTGTACAAACTAAGTGCAACACATGTGGAGGACTCTAACAAAAGAATTTATTTTTAGTAAAGGAAAAATTTGACTGTTCACCGATTCCTTTGAAGTCAGGTGGCATTTTTGTCATTGCAGGAGTCGGGAGAGATGGATATTTCTCCAAGTGTAGACAACGGTGGTTTTCCCGACAAAGTGACGGAAACTGATCCAGAGCATATAAATGACCCAACACAGCCCGCAGAGCCCCTTCCAATTGAAGACGGTATGTCAGTAATTGATCCTTTTAGTGCAGACAAGTGGTGTTGTAATTGGTTGTTAAGATGCTTGGTATCAACTTCCAGGTTCCTTGCATTCCCAATGTTCTTTCATTCTCAGGGTCCTTCATAATCCTGTTGATGGTTGTTTGCAGAGCATCTCTTAGTTGCATTTTCTAGTTGGGAAGTTTTGTTTTTGTAAATTAAACATCTTCCCCTGGATCTGTCATTGAAGAGTAGACTTCAGTAATTCACTATAAGAGCAGATGTATGCCTAGCATCTCTAGGCCAAAGCCTTCATGCCCTCACTGTAGTAAGAGGGATCTTACTTAGCGTTTATTATGCAACAAATAATAAACAGTAATATTTATGCATCTGTTGGCCTGCAAAATGTTCTCTACTAAATTTTCAACTGAAAGTTAATATACAACTTTAAAGTAAGCAATTTTAATATCAAATTTATTAGGTCCACTCCTCAATGTTTATAAATTTCAGATAGTCCAGTTGATCCTATACCTAACACAAATCCACCGCACCCACTGTCTCAGACTAATGAGGTCGTCTCGCACCCGTTAGATGATCAATCTGCTCAAACGCAAATGATTATCACAAGTGACCCAGATGACACACCTGATGCTAACAATGTTGACATTGTTTTGAAAAAACTTGTTGGAGTACACGGAGCATGTCTTACATTAAGCGATCATGATCGCTTGCGAATATTTATTCACGAGTTTGTTGTACGTGGATTGCTGCCGTACATTGAGAAAATGATCCGGACGTTGAGTGAACAGGTATGTTGTAAATAAGACTTCTTGTAGTTTTGACTGCACATGTCCATGTCCAAGGTCAAGTCAAATACATAAAATTCACATGATGATGTTTGGATAATGTGGATCTGATCTGGAATTTTTAGTTTTATTTATTAGTAGTTGTTGTTTCAATGATTTAATTGTAAGGTGGTAATTTGGAGTGGAGTTGAATAGCTTAGTGGTTAAGATGCTTGCCTTCTAATCCCAGGGACCTGGGTTCAATTCCTGTGACTTGTTCTCACGACAAAAACAACTCCACTCCCTAAGCCTCAATAAGAGACTTGGTTTATAAAGGAACGTTCCCTCCTGTAAGTGGCGAGTGTACTTGCTGTTGGATGTGAAGGAAATTAAATTTAAAAAAAAAAAAAAAAAAAAAATTAAGATTAGCATCTTTACTAAATAAACATTTTCCTTTGTGTTCTCTCTTTAGCTGGCCTCTAGGAAAGGGATCTCTAGGAGTTTTATAAGTGCAACCAAGAACTGGTTCGGTGGGAAAAGGAATGCAGAGAAGGCCAACAAATCACAAGTGGACATGGGGGGCAAGTACGTATGCAAAATTGTTTTGCTCTAAGATCTGGACCGGTCCCTTGCTATAGAAATGAGAAGTTTATAGTTATAAAATTTAAAACAGTATAGTAAATGAAGCTTACAATTCATTTTTTGTGGGTGATTTTTTATTATTTTTATTTTATTATTATTTAATTATCATTTTATTATTACTGTAGAAATTGTAAGAAAAATTACTATTATTGTACATATTTTTTTCTAGTCTTATTGTTGTTATTTTTAAAGTATTTATTATTGTTTTTATTATTATCTTTGGTATTGTTGTTATTACTGTTATAATTAAAGTATTTATATTATATTTAATTATTTAATTATCAAATTGTAAATAAGTATAATCATTATTTTAAATATTTTGCTAGTGTTCTTGTTGCTTTTATTAAGTATGTATTATCTTTGTTAATTTTTTTATGTGCTATTACTTTATTATTGCTATTATTGTTATTATAATGATTGTTAATATTATTACAGTACTCTTTTTATTACTGTTATTATTAGACATGTTGTAATGACTATACTGTATTCAAAACGTCTAGCTAATCTCTTTGTTATTGCGTGCCAGTGATTCTTCTGTTATGACACATAAGCTATCGTAATGATGTGTTGTAAAATACATTAAGATGTAATTTAACTCATTCATGCATGCGTGTTCTTTAATTATGTATCTGATTTTGCATTTATATTAGGTTATTAACTCAGGCTGAAAGTGTTCCTCAAAAGTTTCAGTTTACACTAAAAAAAGATAAGCAACTGTATCAAATTTCTTGACACATTAGGCTTATTCACGATTTTAACTTTCGCCAGGTACTTGCGCGAATCTCCAGAATTACAGATGCGGCGTCTTGGTGATTTAGCCTTCTTAGTTCAGATGTATGAACTAGCTTACACATCATTCCATACAGCAAAACGAGATTTCAACAATGATCATGCATATATGCATTGTGCTGGAGCCTTGGTATGATAATAATAGCTTTTATTGTGTACAGTTTCCCCTCCAATTTGAGATGACCTATGGGAGATTTTTTATGGTCTCGTGGTTCGGTCTCCAAATAGGGGGTCCAAATAGAGGGTTAGCTTTGTGTTACAAGATTAAAGATTGTTATTTGGTTTTTTGAAAAAGTGATCTTGAATTTAGAGGGGTCTCGAATTGGAGGGTTCATTGTGCTATATATCATGAATTCTTAGGAATTATATACATTTGGAAAGTAATTAACTGTTTCCTACCACTAAACAGGCAAATTGAAAACACTTCATTTTCTGATCTACAGCACAAAAAGTTGACAATACCGTAGACAAAAGGATAAAATTATTTGAATAATATTAATTAATATTAAACAAAACCTCTGATGAAATTATTTTTATACCCTATATATATATATATATTTTTTTTTTATTAAACCTTTTTATGCACAAAAAGCTGTTTTACTCAGATAATAGTTTTCCATAGACAGGGCTATCGCCCTTTGTAAAATTTAAAATTAAAATATTTTTGAAAAAAAAAAAATTTATGAAATCTGTGTCTTTCATTAGGAAATGGCTGCAACCTCTGCATTCATGATGGGCAACTTAAACAAGGTTTACCCATCACACTACATGGACAGTGCAGTGTCAATGTATGCTAACACATGCAAGTAAGTTTAGCTATAATGTAGAGAATCAATGAAACATTTTTAAACTTAAATGTAGTGGTTTTTCAATTGAGATAAGCATTATCTTTCAAATCATTAGGCCGACCAGCCCTCCATAAACTAACGTTAGAATACTGCACTTTCAGCGGTAAAGAACAATTAAAACCTCATAAAAAAGGCAACTAATCTGTTTACCTATAATTGAATCCAAGAAGGACACCAGTGTTAAACACTCAGTACTTATACTTGATAATGTGTTAATCCAATTAATATAGTGAGATAACATAACGTTAGTTTATCGAGGGCAGGTTGAGCTAATGTACAGTAACTAGTTCCATATATAAAGACAGATTCACTCAAAGCTCTCATGTACCGGTATACCTTAAATGCTATGCGCATTATTTGAATGATTCTATCTTTATATGCTGTACTAGTTTAGTTTGAAGAAGGAGTATTGTGAACCTCTGGAAATCAATTTCTGATCAATGTTACTAGACCCAAAAACAGCTATGTTGAAAAGTTGTCCGGATGTCCAACGTATCATTATTATGCAAATAAGTACTGCCATTACCAAATATCTATTTTTCGCTATAGCTCTCATAATAAAGCTTATTAGAAAAAGAATTAAATTGTTGAATTTTTTTGGCTATTTTTAGGAAGCCAAGCTTTGCAACCAGAGCGATTCTTCTGAGTACCGAGACACTGAAGGCAAGAGGCCTGTATGGTGAAGCAGCCATGGAGTTTATCAGGATGACTGGAGAGGTAATTACTGAATACTGCCCTCTATTGACTCTCAGACAAGATGTTCATACCATTGTTTTCATGCAACTGTATGTTTTTTTATGTTACTATAAGCATGGAGGAATTAGTTTACCAGATGTTATAGAAACATTGGCATTTTCATATATCCAGAGCCTATTTAATTGTGATTTTTTCTTTTGAAGGACTCAGATTTGAGGAGTGCCCTGTTCTTGGAGCAGGGTGCACATTGTTTTATAAACATGAAGACACCGATGGCTCGTAAATACGCGTTTCACATGATACTGGCTGGCCACAGGTATAGCAAGGCTGGACAGGTGAGAAAAGCACCTTCATTATTTGTTTTTAATTCTAAAATAGTTTTTTGAAATATATTTTCATTTTATTACTGTTTTGTTTCTTCAGAGGAAGCATGCTTTAAGATCGTATTGCCAAGCCCTTCAAGTGTACAAAGGAAAAGGCTGGACTCTAGCTGAGGTAAATGCAAAAGGAACAGTTGTTTACATTCTTAATTAAATAAAACATTTATTCAATTAGATATAAAGGGTTAAAATAATCACAATCGTATTTAACATTTTAAAAGTAAGGAAGTAGGAAGGAAAGGTAATTTAATAAGCAACAACTTTACATTTATGTCTGAATATACATTATATTTGGACAGATAATTATTAGGTATGTGTATTTTGATTTAACAGGATCATATCAACTTTACTATTGGTCGACAGTCATTCAATTTAAAACAGCTCGATAACGCTAGCGCCGCATTCAAACACCTGCTGACCTCTGACAGTAGGCAACCAGCTGTTCAACAGGCCGCATTCCTACGTGAATACTTATTTGTTTTCCAGGTGAGTGCACATTTTGCAACCAATGCTCATTGGCTCATGACATTAACATGTAAAATGTCTGTAGGAAAGCACAAAGAAGGGGGTGATGCTCTCTCACAAAGCATTACTCAAGAGTAATGAAAAATGACCTCACATCACCTCTTTTCTCCAAATAGCATTCCTCTCCCCTCCAAATAATAGGGAGATTTCCATTGCACGACGACGGTAGTACGTAGAACTTAATGACGTCACTAAAAGTCATCTGCGCATGCGACAACGTTAAGGTCACCTCGTCGAGTAGATTCTGGAACGCAATTTGGCCAAATCACGTTCCAGAATGCAGAGAACGTAGGATGCCAGGCATGAGCGATTCCGTTCTAGCGTCGTGTCGTCACACAAATCAAAAGCTCCCTAGTATCTGCCTTTCAATCACTTCCCCTTGCTTCCAATACTCCTAAATATTTCACTGACACTTGTAATGTTACAATTAGAACAACTATATGTTAACCCTTTGCTTTCTCTCTTAGATTGCATTCTTTATAGATTTATGTAATAATTTATTTTTTGCATTTGGAAATGCTACTAACTTTTCAAATTGTAGGTTTCTGGAGTTTTAATATGCTTAGAAAAGGATAAAAGAGACTGACTATGATTAAAATTATAATTTTGTAAAGAGATTAAATAGTTTCAGCCAATAAAAACCTCTTTTAGAGAGGGAATATTAAAAGTATGTTTTCTTAATTTGTAGCAACAAATGGCAACAGCAACTCAAGATGGCAAAGCTTTATCACCCGGCCTGCCTCAGCTACCCCTACCAATCATCAATAAAATAGCCACCAAGGTGCTCTTGGGAAGTACCATACGACCGATTTTACCAGGTAAGCTCAGCTTGTATATCAATGACATTTGTACATAGTCGTCATTGAAGGTATGGCTGGAGAGCTTTTTAATTACTGCATGACTATCTTAAATTTGCATTTAAGAGCCAGCTAAAGTCATGCATAGGAATGAGAAGTGATGAAAACAGTGTTACTTTATAGCATTATGCTACTTAAAAAGTTTATTATTATTTAATATATTTATAAAATTTGTCATACATATATAGAATATTTCCTTTTAAACTGATGAGAAGTAGTGCTTTATGGTGGGGGGGGGGTGGGTTCATGCTGTTAACCTGCTCATGTTGATCCTGCTACGACTGTTCCAGTCAACTGATAACAGCAACTATAATCAAGTGATTATGGATTCACACGAACGAACAAATGATTTACAAGGTTTATTTTTTTATTGATGATTTTGTTATTTAATGTATTTATAAAATGTATGTCATAGCTAAGAGAGTGTTTACTTTTAAATTGTTTATTTAATTAAAATTATACATTATTTTTTGTTAGATAATAAAATTGCTGCCACGTCAGTAGCATTTAATCAACTCTACGACTCGGCTGAAACCGACAAATGGTTCGAGCTAGAAGAGATGGTGGTGAAAGCGGCTAACAAATCGGCGCTTGCTACGTTAAGGCCGTCTCAAAAGTTACTCAACGGGAGGACAAATAACAGTCAACGCCCAATTGCTGTCATCAGAGGTAAGATAGTTGATGATAGCGATGTGGTGCAGTGTGTATGGTGCTTGGCTTTTCATTGAGAGGTTGTAGGTTCGATCTCATTGCTTGTGTCCTTTGAGAAAGACGCTTTGTGTACAGTTTCTTTCTTCACCCGGGTGTATATGGGTACCTGAGTTGGAGGAGGGTGCCTGGTCTGAGGAACTTTCTGGAGTGTCAATCAAATTTAACAATTGACCAATCAGAACAGGGCCTGGAATATGTGCGACATACGTATTGTCCCACAAACACATTATGTGCGTATGATTTTACACTTGTCGTTTGCGGGACTGTAGCAACGATTTCCGAGGGACAGGGCTTAGCCGAAAGCTCCCCTGTGCTGATTACATGCATAAGTAGGAAAACTCTGAGGGAGCATGTTGATTCTACATCCAGTGATAATATTTGATGTACTTTTTGTCATACCATTTTAGTTAATTGAATGTATTATTTCAAGAAATAATAGAAATAATTTTTTTTTTTTGTTTTTTTCATTTATCTTTTCTAGAACCTATTACGATTGAACTTGTACTGACAAATCCCTTGAAAGTTTCCCTCTTGTTGTGCAATCTGTGCCTTCTTTGGAGGTTTACGGATCTGGATTATGAAAAAGTTAACGATGAAACGCCGGAGAAACCACCAACAATAATTTCAAATGAAAATATATGCGTAAGTCCCAAGGTAATAAGCTGTCTGATAGTTTCAACCTGTGTAATGACTTATGGGTAATGTCAAAGGTCAAAGGCATATAAACAAAGCAACTAATTTGTGAACTATGATAAATGGTGCGGTATTCACCTGATATATGATGTAAAGATGACAGCTTTTAAGTAATAACACTGTAGATTGAAATTGGTAGAAGATGACAGCAATAGTATCATTATTTGTATGTATTGACCTTTGACATTTCATTGTACATGTGAAGCTATGAGACAGCTTATTGATTTCTACTGGACTCTTTCTCTCCTTGGTTCAATTGTAAGTTTGAGTAGATGCATGATTCAAGGTTTAATTTAGTATTTGATATATGAGGTCACATGGTAGGCAGAAATCTTTCATTCAATTTATTATTCATTAATTAATTAATTGTTCATTTAAACTGGGTGACCTATTCAATGAAAATTCACAGGTTCCCCCATGCATTCCCAGTATGGCAAACACATTATTTTAATACATATATTTTTAATACAACAATTTTTAAGATGAATTATTTAATTCTCTGATTGGTATTTGCAAACTTCTATTTTTGGATTAATTCATATGAATACATAAACAATACTTTTGTTGTGTCTTTGTTTTGTGTATTTTGTATCAACTTCTAATTCCTGGAAATTCTTTTGTTTTGAACCCAGATGAATATTGCGAATGAAATAATTTACACCGAGACTATTCCAGAATTTGAGCTGAAAGCAAATGAAATAAAAGCAGTTAGTATTTTTTTATGGATTGTTTGGCATATAAAATCATAGATTGTTGTATTTATAGCTGTGGTAATAATATTGATTATCATCATTATTATTTCTATATTTTCTTCACGTCCAACAGCAATTGCACTCTCCACATACAAGATGGAACAATGTTTTGAGTCCTAGAGAGGGGAAAAAAAATTGCTATTTTAAATTTTTTAAAATAATATTATTACCCCACCACCAAAGTTAAGTATTCACCAACGCTTGTCTGTTGTTTGCAGGATTATTATTGTATGCAAAATTGATAAGTGGATCATCTTAAAATTTAGTGGAGAAGTACATTTTGGTCATCTATGCTGTTTACTGTACTGTATATTCAGATATGTAAATGAATTTTTGTTGCCAGTGGTATGAATAACTGTTAGTAATAACAATTGTTCTTTATTTTCTGCAGGTGCAATTATCATTAACACCTCAACAGACTGGTGAACTTAGCATTCTAGGAATTATGTACAGCCTAAGTACACCGATGCAATCCACAAGCTCGACGCCGGTCACAAACATGGAGATTCCAGGCAGTCCATCTCTAAAGCATTCCAAGAAAATGGGTTCAAACGTTGTATCGGTCCGTGGCAGACAAGAAGTGGACGTGCAAGGGCCTAGACTTAATGGCACGTTGATGGAGAAACGAGTTGTAACTTATGGTCCTGACCGGAGGCTGGACCCAATAATTGCACCACCAATGCCTCTGTTAGAGGTGAGCTCCTACTACTGTGCTGTTAATAACATACTTCTGAAGACCAGGATATCTCTAAAATTTGATTTTAAAGTGCCATTCTCCAATGTGAAGTACTATATAAATATTTGTGCTATTGTCATCTCAGGATGTTGAAACTTTCATCAGGCATTGTAAATAAAATTTCTGCACTGTGATTATTAGGTTATTGTTGTTAAATAGTACCTATTTATTGCTATACAAGTCTAAAATCTAATAATCTAATATTTTGTTTTTCTTTCTATTTCAGGCATGTTTCATAGATTTTCCCTATTCTTTACTTTGTGGAGAGATTGGACAGACAATTTTAGAAGTATCAAACAAAGGAGATTATCCGCTACATAAACTTTACATAGTGTCGAAACAACCCCAGTGCTTTGCTTTCAGATCTCCCAACAATTCTCATGTGAATGCTGATATCCAATCAGGATCATTGTACAGGACTATTCCACTTGATAATAGGGTAGATGTTGATGAACATGTAGTTGATATACAAAAATTGTCTTGTGTTGTGAAAGTGCCTCTTCCTGAAGGACACTTAAAGCCGGGTTGCTCGGCATCAATACCAATGTGGATCCAAGGACCGGAAAAGGCCGGGATACACGATGTGGATATACTGTTTTATTATGAATCAACAGAAGAAAATTTTAAATTGAGGTAGGCATACGAATCTCACTGGCTCTTCCCACAGCAAATGACAATTTTCAAAAGTGATGCTCTATTTAAGACACATAATGGAATTATAAAAACCGAAAGGTCCACTGATTAATCTCAGATAAGAAAGTATAATACATACTCCAAGTATTGAAATACACGCCATCGTGTCGGGATTCAATATTTCGACATTAATTATGTCATCATCAGGAATGATTCATAGATTTTCCCTATTCTCTACTTTGGAATGGAATTATAGAGTGGAATTTTTTAACTTGAGTCACGAAAATGATTTTCATGACTCAAGGTTTTTGACAGGATCGCTAATGAAAATGTAATTGGATAGCAGTCACACCATTGCACAGTACAGCTCTACTCCATTATACACATCT